GCATCATCGCGCGAGCGATGGCAATAGGACGGCGCCTAATAGTACCATTGATCAAATCCGTTAAAATGAGACGTTATAGAAAAAGATATGTAAGGTATATCAATGCAGTAACGTCTAATTTAGCTTATCATCCGAATAGATGCTAGACTCGCTGTATTTGAAAATTATTTTATTTATTATATATACCACACACGTCAAAATCAAACTTTCACTCGGTGCTTCACTTAAGCGACGAATATTGTAGTGAGAACAAAATCTCCGGCGAGCAACAGTGCACGATTTGTTAGCTTCAAAATACGCTTCAACTGCGAAAGCGCGGTGCGCGCCAGTCCACTGCGACATCGTGACTGACCAATCCGCACAAATGCCGCGCCAAACTGTCGCCCCTCCCCGGTCCCTCGCGCAAGCGTTGCAAAAATATTCAAATTTCAAATCCTAAATCTGCCACGGGACACCCTGTATTATACTATAATCTATAGATACAAACAAATATTTGCTAAACTTCGTTTCGGCACTTGCGAACGTGAAAAATGTAATAAAATTGAAGTTATGTTACAACAATTCTTGACGATTATTTTTTGTGCTTTTTATTATTGTTTTAATATTAATTGCATCCTTGGATGCCTTTTATTTTCTCATGTTATGGATATAAGATTTTATTTCATTTGTACGTTAATTATTTTTTCAGCACTAATTTGCTTTGGACTTTTGACTAAGAAATTATCAAGTGTGTGTGTACGAGTAATAATACAATATTACGATTCGAGATAGATTTTCATTTTCATTTCATTACGATCAGATATTGAATGACTGAGACTGAGATTCACTGACTGAGATAACCATTCCATACAGATTTTACAGATAGATACAGTTTAAACTGCTTAGTAGTACTGATGACCGAATATAGCTAATAGAACTAATAGACTACGGAGCAATCTTTAAAATGACCGAGCAGGCACAAGACTAAAATTTAGTTTTCAGACGACTTCAATTAATCTGAAGTCACATTTATGGCAGAGATATATATAACACGTACACAGTACACACAAGTTTCTTTGGAACAGCAAACGATTGCTAGTTCTTCGAGTAGTTTTTGAGCCAGCCTTCGACGTCAAATCCAACCACCGTGATGCCATCAGCCGTATCATAGACTCAACACATACAAGAAAAAAATGTATGCCCTAATTCCTACACATATGTCAATAGATCAAAAGTACTAAAGAAAGTTCATTTCAGCAATTAAATTAGTATTTAAATCTTAACTTTTATAATCAGAATTAAAAAAAGTCACGAAACGATAATAATTTTGATGATATCTGTTCTATGACTAGGTATATTGTTAAGTTGCCGTTACAAAAAAATAGACAGTTATGATAACGTTATCCGTTATAGCACCCCAAAACTTCAAATATTTACGTAGTACAAACCAAGCGGATTGGTCGGTCCTTGTTTATTTCTCCATCTTATTCTAATTACTTTTGGCGCTTTTTTTAATTTATCCTATGCTACCGCAGCGCCACCCTTATTGGACGCGTTTTTAAGAACATTTATTCATGTACAGTCAGTACAGTACAGAGATGGTCCTCCTTCTACTCTATACTCCATGATATATGGTCTATAGTTGACGACCGGCTGGCTGACGTATAAAGCGTCTCCCACACACAAGCGGCTTGCGGTGGCGGCTTACCGCAGGGCGCGGCTGCAGCCGCTGTAACAACACAACACCGCGGCCCAAGTGGCGGCCTGAAGCGCCATTCGCTGTGGTGTCTGTGCTACGATCGGACGTCAGTAAACATGACAAACCGTGACAAAGTCTTATTATATTCAGCAATATTATCATATATTTTGTTTTTAATACTAATGCTTTTGTGATCACGATGCGAATTATCATAAAGTACTGGATAATTTTGCACTGTTTCTATTAAAATCTCTGAATCTAGCACCATTTTTGACGCGGTACACGCGGCCAGTTGTAAAAATTTACAATTAACCGCGCTGCGGCCACCGACTGACCGTGTACTCGCTAAAGCGTCTCCCACACAGAAGCGGCTTGCGGTGGCGGCCGCGGTGGCGGCCAGTTGTATTCGCTTGCAATGTAAATGCTCTGCAAACTCGTGCGGCTATGGCGCGGCCTGCCAGCGGCTGACCGCAGCCGCACGCTCCGCCCCTTCCGCCAACAAGTGTGTTAGCGAGTACGCTGTCTGTCGGTGGCCGCAGCGCGGTCAGTTGCAAATTTTTACAACAGGTCGCGTGTACCGCGTGAAAAATGGTGCTAAACTCAGAGATTTTAATAGAAACAAGGTGAAATTATCCAGTACTTTATGATAATTTGCATCGTGATCACAAAATCATTGGGATTAAAAACAAAATATATGATAATATTGCTGAATATAATAAGACTTCGTCACGGTTTGTCATGTTTACTGACGTCCGATCGTAGCATAGACATCACTGCGAATGGCGCTTCAGGCCGCCACTCCGGCCGCGGTGGTGTGTTGTTGCAGCGGCTGAAGCCGCGGCTCGCGATTAGCCGCCACCGCAAGCCGCTTGTGTGTGGGAGACGCTTTACACACACGCGTTGGCAAATGGGGCGGAGCATGCGGCCGCGGCCAGCCGCTATCAGGCTGCGCCATGGCCGCACGAGTTTGCAGACTCACTTACATTGCAAACGAATACAATTGGCCGCCACCGCAAGCCGCTTCTGTGTAGGAGACGCTTAATTGTGTTTTTACCATTTGCCAATTAAGGCAACCAAAGGGCTTAGACCGTACAGCCTAATCTGATGTGTATTTTATTTATAAAGTTTTTCACAATAATGATATTGTGAAAAATTACTTTTCCTTTAGGTATAAAGAAAACCATCTTGAGGATGAATTTCGTAGCACCATTTTAACACCAGAGTCAGAGTATAGCTCATTTCCATTGAAATAAATATTACTACCTAAGGACTGGGCGGATCGTGCCTTAAAATGGTGTGACCTAGCACTTCTTACTAGTTTGTGGGTGTGACTAATGTGGTCTCCTACATACTGTAGTGCATAAGTGAATTAGGCGCGCGGCTCGCATTTTCGCATAGCAACTAAGGATCTTATTTTATCACCTTCAACCTAAATGATTAAATAAATAAGATAGGTTACTAACACTAGATATAAGTTTTGTCATATATTATACAATTAATGATGGAATTATTGGGGTATTTACTATTTATACAGTATTCTCACATGGTTAGTCTTAGGAAATATTTAAAAGAAACTGATTAATATATTATGTTGAGTAAAATAAATAAATAATACTATTATTATTATGCAGGGGTGTAAATTTATTTTCTCATCTGGTTATGCTGCATAAATATATTATGACTGTTAGGCGCCCCCTTGACGATCAATTATATTGCGCATTATTACGAATTGTGCAATGTTATTGACCGTATTGGGTTAATATTGAAGATTGCGCAATGATTGAACGAAAGTTTGAGCGAGTTTAATTTTTATTGCACCATAATTTTCCATTGCATCGTGTAGGGTCAGTATTGCGCAATATTATTTAGTCTGTATTTCGTCTTGACGAGAAGATAACGCGCGCACGCAAACATGGCGGAAAAAGAAAATTCAAAAGTAAAGAAAAGGAAGTTTATCATCGAATGTATCCAATATATAAATATATATATGTAAATATATATATATATATATATATATATATATATATATATATATATATATATATATATATATATATATATATATATAATATTCTATGTACGCAATTTTACAGAGAATTGCCGTCTCTGTGGAATGTCAAGAGCAAAGAATATCATGACATTGATAAAAAAATGATAAGGAAAATGATGCTGATGACTCAATGGTGAACGAACGTTCATTATTTCAATATATACAATTTACTAAATAATTGAAAAGATTATAGTCTTTATTTATCTTGATTAATTCCTTCAAAACATATATTATCGCATCGCAGGTTTCCATAATTATTAAAGAAAGACTTTGTGGGGAAATAGCATACTATTCTCCTACTGAACACGAATACACTGCTAAGTTCGTATTACTGTGCAATATAATTGATCGTTGGATTCAAAGCGCCTTTCAATCTTAATGTAAAATAAAATGTATTGTACAAAGTTATTGTAGATCTAGGAGTCGCCTTAAGTAGTTCTATGATATTGCATTAAAAGTTACTTCTGGAAAATGAGAGGTTTCTTTCTTTCTTTACAACCACGGTTACGCTCTTACGTAGATGTCTTTAAGAATATTAATGAAGTTGTAATAAATGGCGTTAAACCACTTTTTCGTTTAATTTTATTTTTAAAATTTAAAATTATCTTACACAATATGGAAGATGTACCAAATACTAAACACTGAAAAAATAAAAAATGTCATTTGGAGTAATATATAATAAGACCGGAAAAGTATTTCAATTACTATTTTTAATGAGCTAAGTATTTTATCGCCAGCATACGAGTGTAGAAGACAATTGCGCAGAACGCAACTCAAAATATATTAATATAATAGATATAGAGTAATTTAATATACCGCAACTTAGGCCGGCCATATACATATGGAATTCTGTTTCGGGATTCCGATTCGAGATTCTGAACGCAGCAAATTCATATAAAATTTATGACCCGTCACACACGTACAGTACTTTTCCGTTCGAAAATTTGCGGTCAAAACGGGATTCCGTGTGTGTGGCTGACCCGTTCGAAATTCCGAAACCGAGTTCCGTATGTATGTGGCCGACCTTAACTTTTTATGAATGAATACATATTGTAGTTGACCTATTTTAGTGCTATGATAATTTTCAAAGCTATAAAAATTAAATATAATGCTACCAAGACTTGTTCTGTCAACCTAGAAAGAAAGACCTGTCAACATGGAACCAGTTAAATCAATAATAGAATCGGTATCATAGAACTGGAACTGTAAACTTTTAAGGACATATTAATTTTTTTTAAATAAGGGATTTTATGAGTAAAAACAAAAAATTGTATGCTTTACACTAAGTTTATTTCACATGCACAATAAATGTGCTATTACACCTGACCGGAAAAGTGACATTACTTAACCCCATTTTAAAATGGGATCATACATTGTCTACTAATCCAGTATAGGGCGCATTTCCCTTAACACTATCTCGGTCAATGACATTAACACGCCTGACTTAAGTGCTCTAAAGACATAATTATACATTTGTCAAGAACAATTGTGCTTGCTCTTGTGTTATCTTCATCTTTTTCCTCATTTTCCGCATGGCATTAGGCGACATATTACTTTTTTGCTCCAATGACGAAATATGCGAAGTGAGTTTATTTACTAACTCAACGCGTGTTTTGTTGAGAACGTTGTCGTGCGGCTTAGCGCGCATAAGTCTTCTATGATAAAAAACTAACTTATTCATCGTTTGTTCAACAAAAGGATTTCTCACGGCGGCATTGTTATCCTCAATTATTTCATTACTTCCGTTAAGATCTCTGTCATTGCTCTTCTTCTGCCAATTCTTGGCAAACTTCTTTTTTGCATGGGCTGCTGGACTAAGCCATATAGATTTATCGTTCTTTTTCTTTCTAAGCAATACGGGCTTTGCTTTAGACACATAATATTTACTAAGCAACTCTTGATAGTCTTTTCGTGGGATGGCAGTAAATATGCAATGATAATGTTGCCCAATTTCTTCTCGCATTTGAGGAGGTATATACTTTTGTCTGAAGTTCGTAAGCTTTTCTTGAAGAGAATATAGTTCGCTTAAATGCTTTGACCCATCGGCAAGCCCAGCTTGGCCAATAAGGACCATATTTAATTTCTTTAACATAACATTAATATTTTCACGATTATTTGACAACTGCTTTGGACTGACCTCTTTTTGTTTAAGAAGTTGTTGATGATGGTTTTGAAGATAAGTTAACTCTTTATAAATATCTTTAGGATCACCTAAATCTTCTTTTAACAATTCTAATGCCTTATTAATTTTTCTCAAAACATTGCATCTATTCCGCGGTATGTTATTGCACAGTACATTATCTTGATTTGTCATTTCTTTCGGAATTTCTAAATTATTAGCAGATTTAACATTATCCGTACTTTCTTTGCTCTTAATCCAATCTCTAAGTTCAGCCTGAAAAGCCTCTTGGTCAGCAACTTTTCCTAAAATACCTATAAACAAATTGAAATCTGTGGTTTGTAGAGTTACATTGTTTTTTTGTGTAGATTTCTTTAACCACTCTTCTCCATCTTTTGTTTTAAGTTTTTCGATAATATCGTTAGTAATATAAATCCTTGCAGATGTTACGATGTCACTTGTATCTGAGACTTCATTATCTTGAATAATATATCCCTTTTTGTCATGGTTGGTAGATGATAGTGGAATGAAATCTGGTGCTTTTTCTACTTCAATATTAGTTGTTTTAGGCGGTTCACTATTGTTATTTAATATTTTATTAGTTGTTTTAGGCGGTTCGCTATTGTTATTTAATATTTTATTAGTTATTTTAGGCGGTTCGCTATTGTTATTTAATATTTTATTAGTTTCTTTTGCAATTTTGTTTGTATCTTCATTTTGATCAAAGTTCTGTGACGTTTTTCTTTCAGAACTATTAATTTTTGGACTTTTTGTGTTACGACGTAAGTCAGTGTCATCAGAATAAGATGTGTTTCTCTTTTTATTGGCATGGCTTTCGTGACAAACAGGCGAATTTGATTGCCGTTTGTTTCTGTCATTTCTATGTTGAATTGTTGCCGAAGAAATGGTTGAATCTTGTGTGTTATAACGACTAAATTGTGGGTTTCTTTGAGGTGTACTGTTATTTAATTGATTGGTATTTTCATTTGTAGAAAAGTATATGGGATGATATAAAGAAACATAGGGGGAATTTATCGGTAGACCCGAAAATGGTAGTGACAGACGGCAAGTGTGTACCAGGTGACCACGTCGAGCGCAGCCACTACAAAACATTTGGTAATGTTTTTTCGTTTGACGATTCTCCTCTAATGGTGTATTACAGGAGATCTGTAAATAAGAATACACCAAATTTATTGCATTAGATATAAATGCTAAATTTATAGATATTTACTTTTTTAGTTTATATCATTTTTTGACAAAATTTTCTCACCGTATTATGATAGCGGCGCCACAAATCGGGGCAATGGCTTGAAGGGTGGCCAATCTGACCGCATTCAGCGCATCTTATATTGTTCCAATTCGAGCAGTTTCGACACATTGTGGTATACATGTGGTTTGGAGATCCACACTGAAACAAATTTATTTAATGCTTTAATTAAATTAGAGTTAGCAACAATACTATCTGCTTTAATGAAAAGAAAAAGCAACAAATTCAATGTGAAATAACACATTATAATTGAAAGAATTTGTATTTTTCGTAATCGAGGGATATGTTATATAATAGCAAGTATTGTTTATAAAGACAACAATTTAGATCTATATATTGTAAAACTTGAAAGCCGTTATTAAGAAAGAACGGTCATCTGTGACCCAGACCCGACAGAAACGAGACATATCTCAGTTTTTTGTTATTTTTTATGCAGTTAAATTATACATTTTTTATATTAGAAATCAAGGGCTAACACCAAAATATTGCCTTATGTTTTTGAATAGAATAGAATAGAATAGAATGATTTTTATTCAATATGGATTATCAATTACAATAACATAATACTTATTGAAAGTCATTATTTTATTTACCACTGGTTCGGAAAATACCTCTGTCCTGGGAAGAACCAGCAAGAAACCCAGCGGTACTTTTTTTTTAAACATAAAATCACTTAACAATAATTTTGTTTATACAATTTTAAATGAATTTTCATAGAACCAGCATGGTGGCGATCACCTCATTCCCAGGGGTTATTTTCATTCATGTATTCCTTGATATTATAATAACCCTTTTTGTACAGTTTTTCTTTAATAAAACTTTTAAACTTGTTTATTGACAAACTTTGAACATGTTCTGGGATTTTGTTGTAAAAGCATATACATTGTCCCATAAATGAATTACTAATTCTGTGGAGTCTAGTAAGTGGCATTACAAGCTTATTTTTTGCTTAAGCTTTGTTCCTAGTGTTTAAGGTATGAATATCCTTATTCTTATTAAAGCTATTTATGTTTTTATGTACATACATTACATTTTCATAAATATATTGCGATACCAAAGTTAATATGTTTATTTCTTTAAATTTTTCTCTGAGGGACTCTTTACAATTTAGATTATAAATCGCCAGTACGGCTCTCTTTTGCAAAACAAATCATCATCATCATTACAGCCCTTCACAAGTCCACTGCTGAACATAGGCCTCCCCCAAAGAATGCCACAAAGCACGGTCCTGAGCCACCTGCATCCATCGACTTCCTGCACATCTTACCAGGTCGTCACTCCATCTAGTGGGGGGACGCCCTACACTTCGCCTGCCGGTACGAGGCTGCCACTCGAGAACCTTTCTTCCCCATCGGTTGTCGGTTCTTCGAGCTATATGGCCGGCCCATTGCCACTTCAGCTTACTAATCCGTTGGGCTATGTCGGTCACTCTGGTTCTACTGCGGATATCCTCATTTCTGAGTTTATCACGCAGAGAAACTCCGAGCATAGTCCTCTCCATAGCTCGCTGAGCGACCTTGAGCTTCCTCATCCGGCCAGCAGTGAAGGACCACGTCTCAGTTCCGTATGTCATCACTGGCAACACGCACTGGGTGTACAGTCTCGTTTTCAAGTTTTGAGGTATACCTGACGAGAAGATGTGCCGTAATTTCCCGAACGCTGCCCAACCGAGTTGAATCCGTCGATTGACCTCTCGGTCGAAGTTGGACTTACCTAGTCGGACTATTTGTCCCAGGTAAACATACTCGTCAACAACTTCGAGCTTAGTGTTCCCAACAACTACCGGCATAGGTGTGACATGGACATTAAACATGACCTTTGTTTTGTCCATGTTCATCTTAAGACCTATCCGTTGGGAAACACTATTGAGGTCATTGAGCATAGTGCTTAGGTCCTCCAGCGATTCTGCCATAAGGACTATATCGTCGGCAAATCGAAGGTGAGTGATGTACTCGCCATTGATGTAGATACCGTATCCTTTCCAGTCCAGAAGCTTGAAAACGTCTTCCAACGCAGCGGTGAAGAGTTTCGGGGATATGACGTCACCCTGTCTTACACCTCTCTGCAATTGGATAGGTTTCGTACTCTGGTTCTGTACTCGGATAGCCATCGTAGCCCTACTGTACAAGCACTTCAACACTTCGATATACCGACAGTCAACTTGGCATCGCTGAAGGGACTGCAGCACCGCCCAAATTTCGACGGAATCAAAGGCTTTCTCATAGTCCACATACGCCAGACATAGTGGCAAATTGTACTCCTCGGACTTCTGTACAATTTGCCGAAGCGTATGTATGTGGTCTATGGTGCTAAAGCCTTTTCGGAAACCGGCTTATTCGGGAGGCTGAAAGTCGTCAAGTCTGCGCGCGAGACGATTCGTAATGACTCTCGAAAACAGCACGTAGACGCGGCTCAGAAGGGAAATCGGTCTGTAGTTCTTCAAGAGAGCGTTGTCGCCTTTCTTGAAGAACAAGACCACCGCACTTCTGCTCCACGCCTCCGGTGTAATGCCACCATAGAGGACGGAATTAAAGAGCTTCTGAAGGACTTCAAGTACCGGTTTTCCACCCGCTTTCAGAAGCTCCGCTGTAATTCCATCCTGGCCTGGGGCTTTGCCGTTTTTAAGGTGCTGGAGAGCCATTCTAATCTCGCTCAGACTGACGTCCGGGATATCATCGGAATAATGTCGGATAAGACTCGCTCTTGGATCGTTACTCACACTTGCGTGTGGCTCCAACGATGACGTGTACAGCTGCCCATAGAACCTCTCAATCTCACTCAAAATCTCAGGTGCCCCGGAAACGATGCTGCCACATTCGGTCTTCAGCTTTGACAGTTGGCTCTTTCTGGCAGACAGATCTCTGGCAAAGACTTTGGAGCCTTGGTTCCGCTCGATCGCTTCTTCAATACGAGCTGTATTAAAGTTGCGTAAGTCCCGCCGCATGCATTTGGAGATCTGTCTGTTCAGTTGCCTGTATGCTGTCAAATCTGTTGAAGAATGTAGCTTCATCTCCCGTCTAACAGCCATGAGATTAAGAGTGTGATCGGAGAGTTTTTGTGTTCTTCTGCGGCGGGTCTTGCAGAACTTAGCTCCGACCGCATGGACAGTTTCCACGAGCTTGTCATTCAAATCGTCCACTTCATTGCAGTCTTCTAGGCACTGAAAACGGTTTTGCAACTCGAGCTGAAAGGTTTCGGGACTTTGGATTAGAGCACGAGGGGGACGGAGCGTTGACTTCATTAGACGAGACCTCTCCAACTTAACGTTTAGGTTCAGTGTGCCTCTAACCATTCGGTGATCGCTGCCGGTTTTCACCCTCGCGATCACTGAGACATCACTGAACAGTTGTCGTCTGGTCGTCATAATGAAGTCAATCTCATTTTTTGTCGAACCGTCGGGGCTCGACCAGGTCCACTTCCTGTGGGGCCGCTTCTGGAAGAAAGAGTTCATCATAAAGAGTCCCTCTTTCTCCATGAAGTCGGCCAACTGCTGGCCCCTTGGGTTCCGTTGCCCTATTCCAAATTTCCCCACTTTCAGCTCACCGTTCTCTCTTGTGCCTAGTTTTGCATTGAAGTCTCCCATTAACACCGTATATTGGGTTTTGGAGGAATGCATGGCTGTAGAGATATCCTCATACATTTCCTCCACCTCCTGATCGGGGTGTGCCGAGGTTGGTGCGTAAGCCTGTATGACCTTCAGCGAATACCGTTTGGTGATTCTGAGTATAAGGTACGCAACCCTCGTCGACACACTCTCAATCTTTACAACGTTGTTAACGAGAGACTTGTGGACGATAAATCCGACACCTCCTTGGGACAGATGGTCGCCCTCCCGGTAATAGAGCAAGTTGCCGGATTCGAGGATTACCGTGTCCTCCCCCTCTCTTCGGACTTCGGATAATCCTATAATATGCCAGCGTAACTTGTCTATCTCTTCTTCCAGCTCCACAATCTTCTCGTCAGTCCTCAGGGTGCGTGCATTGTATGTTGCCAGGTCGAGTCGTTGTAGGTGGCAACCGAACCTCCACCGGAGATTCTTAGCACCCCCTGCCCCGCCGTTACCATGGTCGCCACCGTAGCCAGGAATAGCGGGGCCGCCGGGGACTGGGGGCCGTCTCTTCGTAACTTTCATTATGGGGGGTATATTGCCATAGTTGCCACGCTTGGCGAGCGGGTTGGCAACCGCAGTTTTTTTATTGTATTTTTGCCGTTACCAGGAAGATGCTGCTGCCCATCTCCTGCCTGTTTCCCTTTGTCGCCTTTTACGACACCCACGGGAAGATATGGGGTAGTGGATATTCTTAACCGCCACTACACGGCATTATTGCAAATTATTGCATATTGCAAAACAAAGCTTCAATATCAGACGCATTACCCCATAGCAAAATTCCATAAGACATTACACTGTGAAAGTAACTAAAATACACTAACCTAGCTGTCTCAACATATGTGAGACTTCTAATCTTTCTTACAGCATATGCTGCAGAACTAAGTCTGCTTGCTAATTTAGATATATGGGGGCCCCATTGAAGTTTCGCGTCAACAGTAATATTTGTTCAGGCGATACACAAAAACAATACAAAATGCCTATTTATCTACAAAATTCGTAAATGTATGTAACTAAATGGCGATAAAATAGCTATGGGATGTATCGAGGTGACCTGGAGATGCAGCTGGATTATGTAATTTTTAAACTTCTAGTAAAACAATCTACTTGGATTCATTATATTATCACGTGAGATTAGCACGGTCGTACGGCAATAAGCATTTTAAAATTACGGGTATGGAGATATATAGACATCCAGCGGCAGTAGAGAGCAGAAACAATAATACTTTAGTTAGGTGCCGAATTCATTCACGACACGTTACGATAAAAATGTATTACACTTATATTATGTTTGATGAGAATATAAATGGTATAAACACAATAACAAAATATTACTGCTCGTGCTACAATGGTAAAAGAACATTGGGAATTTGCTCACACCTCATTAGTGTTGTCTATTACTTAGGGTGGGCTAGACATCGAGATTACTTTGACCACCCCGCACTGGGTATGGATTATGTTTTAAGGGACAAAGAAATTCAATAAAACTTTATTTCTACATTTTTTTTATAGGATAAGAGTGACAAACGAGCACACAGTCCACCTCATGGTAAGTGGTTGCTGTGGCCCATAGACATCTACATCTATCTTCGATTAAGAATCAAAATGCAGATGCGTTGTCACCCGTGAGGACTAAGATGGAATGCCTCGTTTCCAGTAAAAAGGGTCTCCGGTTCTCTACACTCACCAAACGAAACACAGCAGCGTTAAGCTGCTATTTTACGCTGGTATTCTGTGAGAGCGTGGTCCTTCCCCGGTCGAGCCGACCCATTCGTGTTACAACCATAATTTAGTTGCAGCATGGCTCTACCACGTATAAGACATATTGAATTTTTTTTGTTATAGATCATGGAATCCCACTGATAGGTACCTAAATCTCTAATGTTTGTTTGTTATGAATCATCGAATACAACGGTTTTAATGAATCCTAAGTTGATTGTCATACTAGGAGTTAAATAAATTACATAATCCAGCTGCATTTCCAGGACACCTCCATACATCCCATAGCTATTGTATCGTCATTTAGTTACATACATTTACGAATTTTGTAGATAAAAAGGCATTTTGTTTTTTTTGTGTATCGCCTGAACAAAAACATAAGGCATTATTTTGGTTAGCCATTGATTTCTAATATAAAAAATATATAACTGAACTATATAAAAAATAGCATCTCCAGGTCACCTCAATACATGCCATAGCTATTATATCGTCATTTAGTTACATACATTTACGAATTTTGTAGATAAATAGGCATTTTGTATTTTTTTGTGTATCGCCTGAACAAAAATATAAGGCATTACTTTGGTGTTAGCCATTGATTTCGAATATAAAAAATATATAATTTAACTATATAAAAAATAACAAAAAACTGAGATATATCTCATTTCTGTCGGGACTGAGTTTTTTTTCTATGGGGCGTGACCGTTCTTCTTTATCTTCATGTGTTTCAAAATAGACTTATATTATTAATAAACTATAAAGAAATAAACCACTTAAGACTTAAAATATTATTAAACTATAAAACTAATAAATGATGATTTTATGCTTTAATTTAAAGACGTAAAGTCGTAATTTATTTGTATTGATTTGTAATTTGATTAAATCTTTTTTATAAGGTTAAAGGTTAAAAAAGGTTGGAATTTATCTGCAATGATTTTGCATTTTGCTATGTAGTGTTGGCGTAAGAGAATCCACTACACCATACACACCATTCTGTGGGTGTCGTAATAGGTGACACAGAGAAATTGAACAGGAGATGGGCAGCTCCAGCATCATTGTAATAACAATTGAAAATAATAAAAATTGTGGTTTCCAATATGCCTGCCTAGTGTGGCAACTTTGGCAATTGTGTCTCCTATGAGGGATGGAAGCTATGGCCTATGTTTAGCAGTTTACTTCCGATAGAATATAACAAATAATGTTTGAATGACATCTTGCAGTCATACAGTTGGCAGACTTATTTCATAAATGTATGGATGGAATTACATATTTTTTTATTTTCAATGTTAATAGTCAGGGCTATAAGGTCGAACTTATTATGCTAATTTATAGCATGAATATTGTAAACAAAAAGTATCAGTTAAGTTAAAAGGTAACTTCTGCTCCATCATCAATCTGTAAAAACCCACAGCTGGATATGTGCCTCTCCGTTCAGGGAAGATTTACTTTGACTATCACACTACGTTGACAGTCTCAATACCAGACGTCTAGCACTTTTAAAGTTGCTGCTCATCACCAGTTTGGGTATTTTACATACGTAAAATGTAACTTACATTGACACAAATTTTTCTTGGACAACGCGGCTCATAATGGCCTGTAGAGCCACACATGTAACAAATAGGCGGTTTCATTCGACACGTATCATCACGGTGCCCAGGACGATTGCAGTAGTTACAGCTGAAACAATATGGAAATCTTATGCTGTTGTTGCTATAAATTACGTAATCACAGTTAAGTTAAAAGCCAATAACTATTATTATATGCAATAAATAAATAAAAATAAAGGCAGTTTACACTGTTAACACTACCACTAGTAGTACTAGTGAAAAGTTTGTGATTAACTGTGAGGTTTTCTCTCTTTCTTGTTACGTGAAATTTTCAGAGCACCCCAGTTCCGTCAGTTTTGTTTTGTACTTTCCACTTGTGTTATTGACAGTTTGTCCTGGCCTTCTTTTGATATATAATAAAACTATTTTTTTTATTTGATTAAAGCCTAAACTCTTTTTTTTAAATTGTGCTTCTAAGATAAAAAAAAGATATGTTAACTTACGTTGGCTTCCTTCTTGATAATCCTGGCATTCTATCTTTGGGGTCAATAACCCATAAACTTTTGTCACCTAGAAAGAGATTTAATCTTAGTAATATTTCTATAAAACATGTTTTCACTATATCAAAGTAACAGTCTACATGCATCCCATTACTATGTTTATACTGTTTTTACTAAACACAATAAATTAATTTAAAAATGATTATGGTTGATATCTTAAAGAAAATTGTCTTAATTATCTTTTGATTGATTATTTATTAGCAGTTGTAAATGTTTGTTAACACTAATGTATCCAATCAGTTATCATATTGAAAAAAAAAAGAAGATTATTGGTAACTATTTATTACAGGGTTATTTTGCAATAACTGGCCAAATGTGCAGAGAAGATTCAGAATAAGTAATATAGGCAAATAGTGAAGAAAAATAATCTCAAAAATTCTGTCCTTTTTATTTTTTAAATTCAAACTCAAATTATCGGGATAAGAACTATCCTATCTCTCAAGTTGGACCAAACTGAACACAGAGTGCAAAATTTCATTGAGATCAGTTCAGTAGTTTAAGAGTTCATCAGTTTATTCAATTTTATATATAAAAAAACCACTACAGAGTTTTAATGGATCAAATTTTGAAAGAGAGAGATGCTTTACAAAATCTCCATCTTAGCTAAATTCATAGATTTCAAATACTTAAAATCAATGCATTATTTTAACTGTTTTTCTGCACACACACACATTCCTAACTATCGATCGGTAGGCAAAAACGTTGTTGCCCATAAATCACATTCAATTTGGGATAATTTTGAAATAAAATTAGAAGCCTTATTTGCTATGTTTTATGAGGTGACTGTAGAGAATTAGAGACCCTTTTTACTGGAATTAAAGCATTCCATCTTAGTCAAAAATATCTATGTAAATATCTATGAGACCACAGCATATGCTTACCATCAGGTGGACTATGTGCTTGTTTGTTACCTTTATTCAATTTAAAAAAAAAACTTCTATGAGATACCATAAATCAGAAATCATGCAACGCACTTAAAGTGACTATCCTATATGCTATTAATTAATGATTTGTTTCAAAGCCATGGAGCACATTAGCATAGTGACATAAAGGATGAATAAAAAATGTGAACCTTTATTATACTAAGGAGCCATTGTTATTTTAACGAGTTAGCTAATGGATTAGTAAGGTGAACTGGCCATATAGCTTGAAGAACTAACAACCAATGGGGAAGAAAGATTCTTGGCAGCCTCATACTGGTAGGCAGTGTATGGCCACCTCCACTAGAAGAGAAGAAATACAGTAACTCAATGGTGGTAAGTCACAGGTGATTCATGACTGTGCTTTGTGGCATTCCTTGTGGGAGGACTATGTTCAGCAGTGGACTTCTGAAGGGATGTAATGAATTAATAAATGAAAACCAGCTACCTCTGGATCTAGGCACACCTTATGTTTAACATGTCTATTAATCCCTTTAGCTTGGGGTTCCGTATGCATGATAAAAAAGTATGAAGTAGCTATGAACAACTTCGGATCAGAGTTGTAGGCTGCACATTTATATCATAAATGAATATCTTACCCACTTCAAGTTTATGTACTTTGTTAATCATATTAATACTTACGGGACATACTTTTTTGTATCTCACGATGATTAAAATTTTCTCCACCCCAACTCTCATTATAGAATTTCTCCATTTCGGCACGAAGAGTTGTCACAGAATATCTTCGTTTCTTACACACTTTATCTTTACCCTTCAAATTATCAAAATCAAGATCTTCATACAAAATGGCAGGTACTTTTGTGGAACCAAACCTTGTTGCATCACCTTCAGGAGTGATGTCAATGACCCCTGTTTCTTCTGATTCAGGAAAGCCGGTTACATTTGCCATAACAATGTTTTCATTAATAGCAGTCTGATCTAAAGTTGTGTCTGTCAAATCTACAGTTGGTAAGTTTTGTTGTTGTGTTAAAGTGCTATTTTGTTTTGGTGCCTTAGGCAGCTGTTCAATATTGTCATGTTTTTCTAAACAAATGCTACTATCAGAAGTTGTGCAAATATCAGACTCAGTTTCTTTTTGATTTTGTTTTGGAGGGCTTGTTTTTTCCGATTGGTTGGAATCTGACTCATAGACATCTGTACTTGGAAAACTTTTCTCTGTTACACTATACGAACCATGATTTTTATCCAGGTCAATTGTAGACTGATTACTATCTGAATCATAAACATCGGCACTTGGAATACTTTTTTCAGTTACTGAATAATTTTTTGTTTTCTGTCTCTTTTTCCTGGCTTTACTTTTGGGCGTCGCAAAGTATTCTCCTTCTTTAGGTACAGAAGCTACAGATGCTTGTGTGCTTGTTGCTGGGGTAGATGTTGCAGCCTCCTTGTTTTTCTTTTTTTTTTTCTTTTTAGGGGGAGTACTTTCGTCCATTATGTCAGAGCCATGAAGGCTGAAGTCAAAACTTTGATTATTTGGGCGTTTGGAGGAGATGTTAAGTGCAATACAGTCACCACGTATAAATTCATCAGAAACTGATGAGACAATTGAAGGAACGGGACTTGCTGAAACCTCTCTATCACGCCTATTTGTGGTTATTTTATTTTCTGGGACTTTGTTAATATTTTTTTCTTTAAGCTCGGTGATCTTAGACACTTCAGAAATTTCATCCTCATCTGAACTTTCAATGGTAATGGTAGGCTTTGGTGGCAATTGAACCTCAATAACTTCATCTTCATCACTTGTTTCCAGTTCCACAACTTGAGAGGGTTCATCATTTTCTAATATCTCTATGCTCTTCTTTATGTATTGTGGCACTGGTGACTGGAATATTGACAAATCGGCAGATAACGGAGGTGTGGGTTGACGTTTCTCCTCTTTGGTCTTTGTATTTTCCGAAACTGAGGATTTGTTTATGGACAGATTGGAATCTTTAGCAGCGTTAACCTTCTGTAATGCCTGATCACCAGTTGTACGCCAGTAACGGCGTATAGTGCTTTGAGGTGTGTTGTCCACAATGTGGTCAACATCTTTAAGGTTGGTGGCCTCATCCGTTTGCGATTCATCTACATAATGTAGCATAGAGTAGAACCGTTCTTCTAATTCATTCTCATTAAGATCCTGAAAGTGAAAACGATTGCAAAATCATCACGTATTATTGTGTCACAACAAAAATATGGTAACCTCTAAACTCACCTCCTCCATATTTCAGCGGTGAATTTAGATCAAACAAAATATCACACGAAATTAACATAATCGAAAATTGTAATGAAACAATTATAAAAGTGCTAAAAGCATTACGAATAACTAAAAGAAGATTTGTATTTATTATGGACACGTCTGACACTTCATTGTTGGTACTATACTCTGCCATAGATAAATAATAGATCCATCCACTAAGTAGTCTGTGAATAGATACTATACCACAGAGTACTTTTATATATACTGAAATACTATACTCTGCTTCATTTATGTTAGAACTAAAAAAATAACAATTTCATAGAAATATAAAGAAATACCTATAAAAGAAATATAAAACAAAAATATTTCACAGCGAATAATTTATTTAATTAGATAATTTTTAACCTCAAGTGTGGAATAAAATATAAGATAAAAATTTAATTTTATAGCAAATAAATGTTACAATCATTGACTTCTATATATGGACTGTCTACACACCGTGACATAATGAGGCGATTTGATATTCGCCATTTCGGCACTGACAGCAGAAGTGAACGTCCAAGCAACTAATAATAGAGATAAGACAGTGTGCCAAAACATATCGATAAAAATTCTATACACAGGCCTAACCGTAAATTCCATTCTATTTATGAATCATATTAATATCATGCCATACAATAAATAAATATATCAATTAATACCTAGGCCTTAGACGCAAGCTTAATACCTCATATAAAACCAACATTGATGCTGGGTTGGTCTATATACGTTTTATTCGTAACTATAGAACAGATTTTGTTCCGGGTTTCAAATGAGGAAATGCCTACGCATATCCACTTGGCAGGGGCAAGAACGAATTATGTCGAACTCCCACCTACTAAAACCCCATAGTGTTCCACTTTCGCTGCACTGTAGTAGGGCCACGGAAACACTTTCAAACACATCCGCGGCCCCACCAGCGCCAAACGCCCAATAGCAGCTCCTACTTAGTTGAGGACTTCTCCTCCTCCTCAGATAAGGCAACCTACTTAGTTGAGTACTTCTCCTCCCCCTCAGATAAGGCATACCAGGAACACAAGGCACATTGCGCTTCGCAGCCTCCAACTCCACCTGCACAAGAGACTTCCCCAGCACCAAGTGGGGTAGCCCCGCCAAAGTCGCGCAGGAAGGTCGAGTAGCGCATTGCTGCAGCGTTATAGGGAGAGGACTCTCCTCTACCCGCAGCCCACTAGTACATCAAAGGGCTCGATAAGCCCACCCAGAGTGGCCACCTTGGGCCAGCCCTTCACTTCAGGCCAGCCATGTCAGTCGCCCTACGTTTACCATGCATTACTAAGCCGTTTAGGGAGGAGCTATTTCTCACCTTAACTCACGCAAGCTCACTAATAGGACAAGGACATTAATAATTTTGTAGTCCCATTACAAATTTATAAATTGCTCATATTTAAAGAGATTAAACAAGTTTACGTCTTGTAAACACAAAGTCATCATCACGCGACCTTTCTACACTTAGCTTTTGCACTTGGTTCTGGTGGAAAATAAGGAGAGAAGAAATAAAAAAACATTCCAAATAATACGAGGAAAATTTCGGGAATCAAGGAAGTGACACAACATTACTATTTAAAAATGTATTTATTGCTTTTCGAAGTATTCTCCGCGAAATTTGACACATTTTTCCATACGATGGAACCAATCATTGAAGCAACCATTCCATTCGGAAGTTGGGGTCTCCAAAATGGCCGTTTTGTAGGCGTCCACAACTTCTTCAGGTGATGAAAATCTCTGTCCACGCAATTTATTCTTTATTTTAGGGAAAGTATAGAAATCATTAGGGCTTAGGTCGGGGCTGTACGGCGGACGGTCTAATAATTCTATGTTTTCTTGCTCTAAAAACTCTTTTGTTCTGTGTGCGATGTGAGAACTCGCATTGTCGTCATGGAGGATGATGCAGCTGTTGCAGTTCTCTTTACGGAGTTCAGAAACGACCTGTGGCAAACAAATGCTAGCATACCATTCTGCATTAACCGTTCTTTGTCCCTTAAGAGGAATGGTCGTAACATGGCCGGTTTTGGAGACAAACGTGGCCACCATTTTTTTTGCAACACTACGTGAACGAACATTTTTTGTTGGCTTTAACTCATTTTAGAACACCCAAACTCGTGACTGGTTTTTTGTTTCGGGTTCGTACACGTATATCCAGGATTCGTCACCTGATACGATGTTGTATACAGCATTTGAGGATCCTGCGTGGAATCTTTCGAGAGTTCTGACGCACCAAGTAACGCGAGCCGCTTTTTGCTCTTCACAGAGCGAATGCGGTATCCATCGGTAAAACAACTTTTTTCCACCTAATTGTTCATGCAAGATTATTTGTATTTGACTCATGCCAATGTCTAAAGTTGCCTGAATTTCGCGGTATGTCACATGTCGATCTTCCTCAATCAGCTTACGCACAGCATCAACGTTTTCTTGGGTAACTGCAGTTTTTGGTCGACCTTGACGGGGATCATCACTGAGCTTGACACGTCCACGTTGAAATTCAGCAAACCAGCAATAAATTGTGGTTTTGGATGGGGCTTCATCACCAAATGCAGAAATCATCCGGTCAACACACTGTTTTTGTGTTAAACACTTCGAAAGTCATAATAAATCATCGCTCTTGAATTTTCTCGAGTCAATTCCATTTTCTCAACGACTAAACAAGTTTGACAAAACCTTGTGACAAGACCGAGAATCTATTTTTAAATAAATAAATGGTATTCGATTTTTAAAACCAAGGAGTTTTCAATTAAAAAGATTTTAATATGACAGGAACAGTGGAAATATTCCATTCCCGATACTTTTTGTGCAGCCTATGTACTCTAATATATTTATACTTACTGGTACTGGTAATACCAGAAAATATTGTGGGTATACGGGCTTTTTCGGCGGGAAGTCAAGCTAAGCGGGTGTTTTAATTTTTGCTGAATTTTCATTTCTTTTTATTTTGTATATTTTTTGTAAATTTCCGTGTAAATAGTTAATTAGTACATACCTATATATAGTGTAAATACAATGGGTCCAGATTCCGACGGGGGCCCGGCCCCCGCCGAGCAAGAATCAAAGAAAAGGAAATTGCATGATACTCGCAAAGGAAATGCCGTCGACTACAAAATTTTCACAAAAACAAATTACACGCGACAATTCCCAGAAAACCACAGCGTAGACTGCGTAGTCTACGTTGAATCACAAGAAAACGAAAAAATCGGTAACAAAAATCCAATAGCACTTACAAAGTTATTTACGGAAAATGTAAAAGGAATCGCTGGCGTCCACAGAGTGAACGCATATAAAGTGGGCATAACGTTCAGAAAACCAGCACCGGCCAATAACTTCCTTACCATGACACACTTTCTAGGAAAACACAAATTGAAAGCGTTCGTGCCGGCGCACCTCACTGAAATTACTGGAGTCATAAGATACGTACCTAAAGACTTAAGCAATGAAGACATATACAAAAGCATTACCTGCGATGCAGAAGTCATCTCCGTCAAGAGATTTATGCGAAAGGTAGATGGAAAGCTCACTCCGCTGGGGACCATTGCAGTGACCTTCGCTGCAACAGCGCTGCCGCAGCACGCCTACATACAGATGTTCAGATACCCGGTCCACATGTACATACCTCCGTTACTACAGTGCTACAAATGCCTGAAGTTTAATCACTCTGCAAAAGTCTGCCGAGGTTCTCAAAGGTGTTCTTCGTGCTCTGGACAACACTCCTACAAAGAATGCGACGTCGAAGAAATTGTGTGCATCAACTGTCATGGTGGTCACTTGGCCATCTCTAGGAACTGTCCAGTGAAGCAACAAAAGATGGAAGAGAAGAAGAATAAGTATTTAAAACCAAACCGATCGTATGCCACTGTGGTGAGTATCCCAGCAATGCCCGACCCGAAAGCATTCCCAAACCTTAAACCTGTAAAGACTGTTGATACTGACATAAATAAAGTATCATATAATGCTGAGCAAATACTAAACAACGAGTTAATTATTAATGCGCTAGTCAAATCATTAGTTATGCTTGGCAATGACAAGAGCAGCGCTCCGATTACAAATAAAAGAATTAAAGACATACTTTTAAGTAATTTAATAACATAATGGATACATATTTGAATATAGCACAATATAACATACAGAGCTTACAGAGCAAAAGGGCCTTACTTAAAAAATTTCTTTCGGAACAACATATAGATATCTGTCTCTTAAATGAAACCTGGCTTAAAACAACTAGTACAATTCCCGATTTTTCACCCTATAATTTTATACACAAAAACTCAGTAAATGAACATAACGGAGTAGGTATATTAATTAAACAAAACTTAAAATACACTATTGTAAATACAACTTTTTTCGAATCTGTGCAAAATATTTGCATTTCCGTAGACACAACTATGGGTAAGTTACATATTCTATGTGTATATTGTCCTCCCAATAGCAGCAGGTCAGCTACAAGCAAAATGAAAAAGGTGCTACTTGAAACTCCTAAGCCATGTCTTATTATGGGAGATTTTAATGCTCACCATATCCTGTTTGGATGTCAGACAAATAATAATAGAGGTAACAGTTTATATGCACTTATTGATGACTTTGACTTGTGTATTCTGAATGATGGTGACATAGCTACAACTGTCCAGTATCCTAACAGAAATCAGTCGGCAATAGATTTAGCTCTGGTTAGTTCCGCATTAGCTCCTCTTTGTGAATGGCACGTCCATGACGACCCGATGGGCAGTTACCACTACCCAACTGTGGTCGCTCTAAATGTGAAGCCTTCTGTATATGAAGTGCGTCCTGCGGAAGAAAAATACATTTATAATAAAGCAGATTGGTCTAAATATCAAGAACTATCAGAAACGAGATTTTGTAATTTAGAAATACATGGTACCGAACCTATTGATTTGTATAATAATTTTGTAAATATTTTGTATGATATTAGAGCAGAGACTGTTCCAAAGCAAACACCACAACAAACTTTAAGGGTAATGAGAAAACCTGCACCCTGGTGGAACCAAACATGTGATGATGCTGTTCGAAAGTCTAAGGAGGCCCTCAAAGAGTATAGAAAATCGCCTAGTATTCCTAATTTCATTAACTACAAAAAACTTGATGCTCAAAAGAAAAGGATATTAAAAGAAGAAAGTATTAATTC